GGGAATGCTATCCTAGGGCTGCATCTGGAAGGGGGACAATAAAACCATCTTTCCTATGGTCTGAAAGTTTCTGAACCCCAGTGTCTATTAAAAACACAGAGGGCATCAGTCAGCCAACAGGTTCCACCTGGACGTCAAGTCATTCTGATGTGGACTCCATACTCCACTGGCATGGGAAAAATCCTGCAGTGGGAGTGCAGGTCAGGGGTGCTCTAGCTGACCCCAGGTGAGTCCTCCTACAGGCTCTGTGCAATTGGAATCTTATGAAATCATCAGTAGTCTTATTTTAAAAACTTATTTTTAAAGAACTGAGTTATTAAAGTTCTCTATAAAAAAGTACAAATAGCCCAGTATATTCAGTTGTTCTATTGGAATTAACTAATTCTTCCTTAAGGTTTAATAAAAAGTCTTTGGAAGTTGTGGGCCATAGTGTAGGGATAGTGTAACGCTGTTTGATGACTGAGTTCAGCCTACGCGGTTATTAACTGACACATGATCACACAGATCAGCGGCACAGGGATCCTAGTTGCTCACACTTTCAACCCTCCCAAAGTCCCCGACACTAGAGAATTCACAGAACTGTGGTTGACATCGTTTCTAGATGACTGCCTTCATCCATGAATAACTCAGGCAACCTTTTCCAATTTCCTGTATCTTCTAATAGCAGAAATATGTAACATTCCCTAGATTTGATGGATCAGCCCAAATGGGAAATGACAGAAATGTTTACAGTCCCAAGCAGCTCAAGGAAAATGACTTTTAAAAATATTTCCCAACACTCCTTGTCAAATTAGTGCATAGACACTAATAACCAGAGTGTCCTCTTCCTTCACTGTAACTGTCACACCTTCACTGCTGCTGTAACCCTTACGGTCATCATCCTTTAGGTCCCTGGCTCAGCGGCTATTTCATGGTCGTGACTGTTTAGCATGCTCAGTGGAGGAACAGGCTTTCCTGCCCTTGCTGGGGTTAAAGAAACAGAATGGTGTGATGTACACACACAAGAAACAGGTGACTTCATAAGACCAAAGTGAGAAAATGACTGTCACATGGTGTTGGCTTTCTGAGGCTTTTAAAGACATAAGACTCTCACTTCCCCCCCTTCTTTAGTACCAAGAAAACAAATCCCAGCAAAAAACTCAGATGTCTCCTGCTAAGTGGAATCAGGTGGGAACTGCAGTGTTAGTTGTTTTTGCAACTTCTCCATCTATTCCCAGCTGCCATAATTCTCAGCAGGAGGCCACACGTGGCTGGGAACCTACTGGCTTCCAGGGTACGCTGGATGGTTTGGCTCTGCCCAGGGAATTGTGAGCCACCTCAAGACAGGGAGGGGAAGGGGGATTCTAGCAGCTGGTGAGGACGCTGTTGGCATTTGGGAGATGTTTTTTTGAGGAGGAACAGACTGTATCCCCAGCAACAAACTCGCTCTCAAGGACCAGCAGACGGTGACTTTCACCTGCACCAATGACCTCCAGTGGAAAGCCATTAAAAATGGCAGCAGCTTCTTCCCAAGGTGCCCTCGCCCTCCTTGCTTTCTCCCACTGCAAGCATCCTTCTGGACGCACTCAAACCCTGCTCTTCTCTAAACTCCTTGCTGACTTCAGCCTCCACTGACCTCTCCCTTCTCAGAACATCAACAAGTGGTTCTCTCGGGGTCTAGACCCTCATTCCAGCAAGACACCACGCCCTGCTAAGAACTGGAGCTCAGAGAGGTGCTCACCAACCGTTTTCCGGCTTGCATTAATAATCTTGCAATGACTGTCTCAGGTCAAGTTTCCACAGAGCTCTCAACCCTCTGATTTTCTACCAAAATTCCCAATAAGAAAGCCTAATATATCTCATAAGCCAAGGCAGACTGATTCTGCTTTAACTTGTACCAGGTCATGGGGATGAAAGGGAAGTAGATGTGTTGAAGAGCAATCATTTCGGTTCCTGGGGTTTCGTACTGACCTCTGAATTAGTTCTTGCCTTGTGTGAACCTCCCATTAACCTCTGAGGGTTGCACTTGGCAGCACAGTCCAGTTACTTCCCTTCAAACCAAGCACCTAGTGGCTTTAGATAAGATGCCAAGAGAAGGGCTGCCAGCCCACTAGCCTGCAGCCTCAGACCGAGCTTCTGCCACCGAGCAGTGGCCACCTTCTACGGGAAAATAATGCCAGCCAATCTGAACGGCCTTTTGGAGTCACGGACCAATGAGTCTGGTGGAGAATCAGATTGCGCTTGATTCTGCCAGGCAGCCTAGACCACCACAGGCCCTGGTGATAGGGGCAGTGCTCGGGGGCTGGTACTTCCTAGAGTGCCCCCCAGTGACCTGATCCCTCAAGGCGTCCTCCTCCTTCCAGCCTCCAACAGGACTGCTGCAGTTAGAACGGCAGCCCCCTCCCCGCTGTTCTATTTTACACAAGGCCCAGGAAGTGGGACAATGCCAGAGAATTGTATAAATCGATCCTGCGGCTAACAGTTGTTAACGGTTACCCACGTGATTTATTTTCAGAAATAACTGTCTTGGGCTGCTCAGCTCTTTAAAGCATTAGCCTTCATCTAAATTCAGCACAGAGCAACGTATAAACCAGGCTACATTACAGTAACACCTCACCAGGCCCTGATCTTCACTGTTTCCCCCCCAAGTTTGTCCTCGAGCCTGAGGCAGAGTGCTGGGCTCCACTGTCAGAGTATTTTCTTTTAAAACCTTGCCACATATTCTGAAAGCATACAAGCTGGCTGAGATGTTGAATGCTTCCTAGAGAAATATGAATAATTTGGAAATGTGTTGGCTTTTTGAGGGAGAGCCTGAGCCTGCTGCTTGCTCAACACAAGCAGGCAGCATGAGGCTCGGGAACAAACAGTCCAAACCCCATGTGTTCCTTTCTGGAACTTTCTTCACCTCCAGGGGCTTGGCTGCGAAGCAGTCCTGCTGGAGCTCCATTCTAGGGCAGGGTGGGTTACTGGCCCTTTTGCCTCTCTGGCTCTTTCTATAGACTGGTTCCTTTTCTGTCACACCAAATGAAGTGCGCCGGGGAGGCAGTGTCGCCCAAACGTGCGCTGACCAGCAGGACCGCAGCTCTGCATGTACTAGGGCCCCTTCTGAGTCTGCAAGTCTACAGTCCATAAAAGATGGAGAAGCCTGACCCACTCGCCACTCTCTCTCTTCCTCCAGTAGACGGTGTCTGGGACAGCCTATGCCTCTCCCCTCAAACACTCTTCGCGGTTGTGCACTACATGAATTTCAGGCAGACAGCCAGAGAGTAAACACGAGGAGGCGCTGAGCCGGGAGACACGTTTGGGGAACAGGGGGAATAGAGCAGTCCTCTGTAAGGACGGATAGCTACTTCCATTGGGAATTTTCCTTCTGTTGTAGAAGTCTGGCTCCTCTGAGGACCTTGCAGTGGGATGGTATCCCACAGAAGTGCTCCTCACGAGACTGGAAAGGCCAGTTGTGTCAAGGCTGGAAGAAAATGTGCCGCCTCTGGAGTCTGCCGGTGGTTCCAGGAGATGTGGACCGTTCATCTCATGAAGTCTGTATGCACTGGAGCAAACAGCGGGGTGTCCAGGGGCAGCAAGACGGGCAGTGTGCTTCTGGTGTGTCCACGCACACACATCAGTAAGGGCGTCTTCCGGTCCCTCCCACCCCGAGCCACTAACAGTAACAAGGCTGAAAGGAAGAACAAAACAAATTCCAGCCCAGGGGCTGTGATGACACCACAGCTGCACAAACATACTGGGCATCCTGGAGTCAGACACTTCCCGCGGTCCCCAAGAGGAAGAGTGGTGTAGGAACCAGAACAGAAGATGGTGTTAAGAAGCTAAGACACAGTCTCATCTCAAAAATAATCCCCCAAAACAAAACTTTTGTTTCCAGGTGGAATCAAATATTTATATACATATATATAAGCCTAATGGATCACGTAAAGTAACCATTCATTTTTGAAATTAGGTCTATGATAAAAAATTAATATATCTGATACAGTGTCAATATGCAGAGTATGCGTGGGGTGTGGGAAGAGGAAGCACGGCAGCAAAGAATTAAGCTAAAACTTAATCAGAAAAAGCAGGTTAGAAATAAAAGCTTTCACAAATATAGCACAATTGTGTCTTATAAAATTATTATACTCTATACTTGATACGATTATATCAATAATATAGATTCACTTGTTATTAAGATTTATTATAAACATGCAAAATTCATTGCATGATGCATTTGCAAAACATATTAAAATCCTTCTAGCAATAAAACATCTTTGAGCTGATATGTTATCCAGGTTTCCTGATTCTACAGCTCCAGGTGTGTCATTCGAAATGAACCGGAAATGGGAACTAAGACCGTATTGGTTTTCATCCCTAACTGGATGACAAGGGCTGGGGATGGGAGGGAAATCACTCAACAGGGACAGACGCTCGAGTCAACACTTGATTAAGTTACTGTACATCGTACTCTCATAAATGACACTGCAGCCTGTTAAATAAATAAGTACAAAAGGGGACGGGTGTACACTTCAGCTTCTCAGGAAGTAGGTAGCAAAATATTGGTGTGGGGGGGGGTTGGCTAATGACATTTGTGAGTAGTGGCATGATTGCTGATGGCACCCTGGATCGCAGAATAATCTCCCAGAGATTAAAATGAACACACATACACACCGTTTTTTCCTTGATCTGAAATGATTTCACATGCTCGTTTAGCAAAGTCCTTAGAAGATTTGGCCTCTTAAAAAGAAATGCAAGTATCAAGATAGTTATCAACCAAGTAGGGTACAAGATGACAGATTCACGGAACACTCATCTGAGGTTTTCTTTCTCTCTTTTTTTAAACTGGTAACAGCTGGACCATGATTGGGTTATGACTGTCAACGTCTGGGAACAGTGAGCTTGCAAATGACTTGCCAGTGGGACTAGATTCATCCCGGCCTCTCGGATTCTAGGGACTGTTTCCACCAAGGCAGAGAACAGAAGCGGGGGCCTCCTGCACCCCCAATCCCACCTTGCTCACTCTCTGGGCTCCCTGTTCTTTCATTCCAAAGACATCTTGCGGGGAGATGTCTCCAGCCCACAGAACTGGGGCAGGTTCACTTTATCATTCTGGTTGAGGGATCTCAATGGTGAAAATCGACAGAGGGTATGGAAAATATATCAAATCGTACCAAAAAAGTGGGCAAAAGTCTGTCTGTTTTTGAGGAAGGGTTAACCTACAGCCAGAGGTGACTCTACATCATTTAACTGGACACTATACATTATATCATCTTCCACTAAGATAATGTTCTTGGTTGTAAGAGAGACCCTGAACAGCTGATCACATTTGGACTAATAACCCTACAATTTTCAGGCCTCCATCTGGAACAAGAAACAAGGCAGTGGCCTTAAAATTTTAGGGTTAAGGATCATTTCCCATGGCTGGGGACAGGGGCGCTGGGGGATGGGGAGGCGTTTGTTCTCCTTGTTGAGTTTCATACTGCGCTCTGTAAGATGGGGTGCAAAAACTGGGGGTTGACATACGAGAACCCTTCAAAATCAGACTGATCTATGTTAGCAATGACCAGCTGGTCAGGTGGCGTTAACACGGGCTGCCCTCGTGTGAAGAACTTGTCGAAGTTTTCTGCTCCTTTGCCACACTGTGGAGAAAAAAGAAAGAGGAGGAAAGGTCGGTAAATATCACAAAATACAGGGAGCCGCTCTCCGAGAGCCCTGGGCAGGGAGGAGCGTGGCCCGGGCGAATCGGGGCTGGTTAGGCAGAAAGAATTTTGGAGGACTCACAGGTCTACTGGATTCAAAAGCCAGGCACAGCAAACAACAACGGAGAGTCATTCAGCTGTGAATCCTCAAATACCCCCGGACCTGAAACCCTGGGTGGAGATGCTCTGTTGGTAGTAAGGTAGCAACAAGATGATAGCCTCTTCTAGCTCCTTCTACCTCACAGAGCAAGTGGGGCTATAAGCATGGATGCCACACGCATGGGCACTGGTCACAGTTCCCTGTTGAAGGGCCAGGATGCTGGGTGAGAATGCAGGCAGTTACCCCCCGAACTGAGAGGTTGAGACGACTGCCCCACATTTGGTTCTTTGCAACAACATTTGTCATAAAATAAAAGCTGTGTTATTCTTGTCTTCCAACCGGGATGTTCTTAAAACCTCAGCCCCTATATTCATTTTCAATATGGAAGTGGGTGTGGTGGCAAGGTTGGGACATTCACCCTTGGGCCCAGCTGGACATTGGCATATCTAGATACATCTGGTCAACCAGCAGACAGGTCACCATGGAGTTCACTCGCAGGCGGGCTCAGGCTGGAGGAGGTCTGCACTAGTGCCCTGAGGAGGCCTAGCAAAGTCTGCTATCTGTCTTGGATGTTCCTCTCTCCAGGGTCCACCAGGTGGGCTCTGAGAAACACAGCAGCTTAAGGCAGCACTGCTTGGGGCCCGACTCCAAATAGGGGGAAGGGCTGTCCTCCTTACTTTTCCAGCCACCCACAAGGGTGGAGGCATGCTAAAGTCCCCCTCAGACAGGGAGCACTGGGAGGTGCACTGGTGACACGACTCATGATTCCCCACATGTTGCAAATGATCGCCCTTTTACCTGCTGGTACCACAGGGCAACAAGAATTAATTCTGAGTTAGCAGAAGTTTTACACTAGCCAGGCATTCCTGGATCTTTAAGAAGATAGCTCTAGTTAACTGTGAAGTGGGGTCCACCCCATTACCTCATCTGTAAAATGGGGAGAACAGTGGTACCTCCCTCCCTAGGCTGTTACAAAGGTTGAAGGTACAGTGTTTTGCACAGAACCCAGCACGTGGTGAGAGCTCCGTACACATCACTGTTATCTTTGTAAGGCCAGTTATGCTCACGGGCCATACTTGCTCCCTCCTCTTTCACATCTCTTCCCCATCTTCTGGAAGATTTCCTTTAGAATCTAGTTTCATTATGCTTTTTCCACTCTCTTACCATCAAATAAAACCTGCTCCTAAGTACCTGTCGCAGTGGAAAGCATAAATTCAAGGTAATGTCTTCATAACTGATAGCTTTCCTTTCTGGGGTTGTTTTCATTTTCATAAGCGACCACCCACTCCTGACTGGAGGAGAGTTCAGACCAGTGACTGGTGGGTGGGTATGTCGGGGACGTGTTGGGGAGAGGAGGTGGGAGGCGGGGGATTGTTTCGGGCCCCTCCAGTCACTCTATGGAGGCCACACTGACTATTAGGCCTGCTCATCACATGGTCCTGCCTCCCGCATGTGGGACGGCGGAGCTCTCACTCCACGCTGCACGTTTCCATGGGGCTTTTCCTGGAAGAGCACTAGGCACCTTCGAAGCAAAGGTCAGCAGAAGCAGAGCCTGCAGTTCGCATCTCCCCACACGCACAGGCCAATCTGAACCATGCAAAAGGCTCTTCAAAGAAGGAAGAAAGGCATAATGTTTCTTCCCAAGAATTAATTAGGAGCCTGCACTTGATTCGTCAGTAAAACCAACCAACCAACCAACAAGAACCAACTTCCACGGGGCACCACATTCAGACACTGCTGTGATGATGATTACGGCTAAAGAAATAGCCCTCCTTTGGACAGACCAGCGGTTCTCAAACTGGGACGATTTTGAACCCTGGCCAACCACCCTGGGGGGACATTTGGTGATGTCTGAATTCACTTTCAGTTGTCATGACCTGGGCAGGGTGTGCTGCTGGCATCTAGTGGTAGAGGCCAAGGATGCTGCTAAACACCCTGCAATGCACAGGACAGCCCCCACAACAAAGAGTTGTTGGCCCAAAATGTCAACAGTGCTGTTGTTGAGAAACCCTGGGACATACCAAGACTGTAATGCAAATCTGAGCAGGACCCAAGGTCACGGCGAGGGCAAATGTGGAGGCCAAAGAAAGAAATAAGGCAAGAACAGCCATATTTGAGAGCAGAGAATGGAGGAGCTGCAGAAGCCCAAGGCAAAAGTATCGTAAGCAAGTGTTACAGCCCCGGCAGAGTTGGCGTTCAGGAGAACGTCCTTTGGGAACCCGATTAATGAACATCCGTTGCCTGGAAGATTTCAAGTGAATCTACTCCCAGAGGCTGGGACATGTGCTCCCTTAAAAAGAGATCACTTGCATTTCTTTTTCCACTCACTAACCATGCAAAGACGATCAAGAAGGAATTTCTGGGGGGAAAAAAATAAAAGGTGAAGTCTCCAAAAGGAAGAAGAAGGCAAGCTAAAGTGAAAGGTGTCTCCACTAGCTGGAAATTTTCTCTCTCTCTGGATTTGTCAATCTATTCTGTGAAGATTGCAAAGGTCTGACCTTTTGAGTACCATCTTTCTAGTATTTTCAAATCATATTCCAATAGGAAGTTCCAAAAGCCATGGCTTAATTACCAAAGAAAAATAAAACATACTAAGAGTTCCCAAGAGCCCAAAAGGGGACCACGTGAACATCAACCCTGAGGAGGCTGGGGATGGGGACGGAGCTCGAGGACATGAAATTCTAAAGCTGGTGTCCAAAGGAGGGTTACTCGGAAGGGCTGCCACAGCTTTACAAGCCGAGTACTGTAACTCATGGAAGTGAAACCCTCATTGCTTAAAGGCTCATGCTGTGACGGCTGCTGGCTGCAGAGCTAAGGGGGAATTACGGAATTACCTTAGCAAGCCAGGGGGAAGAAAGTTCTGGAAGAGCTGAGGCTGAATCTGAGGATCAGCTGAGATCCAAGGCTCAGAAGGCCTTTTTATTCTGAGGGAGATCATACCAGAAAGGAGTCGCTTTCCTCCCACCAGGGGCCGAGGGAAGCACAGCTATTTTTACCACAGATTCGGTACTGTCAGAAATAGCACTTCTTCTTCCACCATGGAGGGTCTCTCCGTGCTTTAAAAATGAACCTCCACAACTCTTAGCAAAATTAGGCCCAGAAATAGGCCATCTCCTTTAAGTCAAACTGGAGACGATCTTGAACTACTTGTTTTTCAAGATGTTTGTATGGAGAACTGCAACTCTTCTCATACCACCACCACCTATCATAAGGATAATGAATATCAGTGCTCTTTGGACCCTTGGGGAAAAGACAAACAATGGCTTCAATAAGCTATTGTATTTTTAATGTAGAAAAGATTCTTCCTACCACTTACGAGCCAGTCTTACTTATAACCATCAGCTTGGTGGCCAATGGGCCTCAGGTGCCATCTTGGATGTGAGAGGCCTCGAGGCTGAAGGGTTCAGGAGGCACCTAGCAGTACCCGTGAATATACAGATGAGCACGTGAAGGAGTGATGACATGAATGAAAAGTGAAGCTGGCCTGACCACAGACATCCTCCCAACGATCCTCAGGGATGCAGTGGGAAGGTTATTACCACGGCCACTGGAAGGGCAGCCTCCCCCGCAGTCTGTGACAACAGGTGGGTTTGGATTGTCCATAGCCTCAGAGCTCTAGGCCACATGATGATATACCGCAGCTCAAGGCAGCATTTGCTACTTGTCAGCCAAACCCCATGGCTGGGTGTGCACTGTCTTCACCTCCACAGACCACCTGCACCTTTCACCAACTGAGGCTTCTGCCATCTCGAGGTGATGCACCCCACAACTGGTATGGGACAAAGATGGAGGCGAGGAGGACAGTAGGAGGTGGCCTAAACCCAGCTGGGCCAGTGTGTGAGCCCACACATTTCCTCTGGTACTGAGACCAGACATCTGTGTTCACAGGACCGTGTCTGCCACCCAAGGGAAAATGGGAGGCACAGCCAGGAGAGAAGCCCAGAGGTCAAAAGCCCAGGGTACAGCTTTGGGCAGCTCACTGCCCCTCTTTGTAAAGATAAAATGGAGATGTGAATATCCACTTTCCAAGGCTGTTGTGAGGATCAAAGGAACGTGTGTGCGACCCTTTCTAGATGATCAGGCATGATATAGACTTGAGATGCAACATGTACAGCAGTGCCCGGCATGTAAAAGGCATGAATGATCACTATTAATGATCTGCCTCCCTTCCTTAGCTCTGGATTCAGGACTTAACTTCTTTGTTGTTTTGACATTCCTACCCATTAGGTAAAAATCATCAATTAATAAAATGCACCAGGAGAAATTAGGCATGGTAAAGGTGTGACCAAGCACGGACTCCGGGTGGAATTTGGGACTGCAATGCTCCCCCATCCAGAGACCTGTGTGGCCAACGGTCCACTCATGACCCTTTGCATTCTGGGTAAAGAGCTGTGGGGAGCCTGCAGCGCAGAGTTCGGCTTCTTGGCTGTGATTCTTACCTGTGAGAGGCGGGAATGAACCATACGTGTGTTGGTCTTAATCCTGTCCTTTACCTCGGTAAAGGTAGCAGACTCTAATCCCACGGTCACTGGTATGGGAATTAGGGTGAGTATGAGTAGCTCAAAAACACTGCTATTTGCCAAAGCAAAACCAAACCAAACTCAGGAGCACGAACAAACCAGGAGGAAAGGTATGTTGCAAAACCAAGGAGAAAGGAAATTTATAAAGGTGGGAAACGTCTCTGACAATTACCAGATGTAGCAGCATGTGCTTCAGGAGCCGTTACCCATATTTTAAGTCTCAGTTTTGGGGGCTGACTGTGGCCCCGTGCCGTGGTCCTAGTGGGGTGCACTAGTAAGAACACCACCAACGGCTGCACATGGCTCCCCGACTTGCGGCTGTAGGTTGTCTTCAATTATTAAATAACCGGCGGCAGAAATGAGTGGGTGCATTCTGCTTTGGGCCTCCTGGGTGCCGCCCAGTGAGGCGGTTGGGCATGGGGTGGCAGCAGTGGGTCTGCCCTTTCTAAGAAGATCAGCATGCTCTGGGAACGGTCTCCCGTGCACGACCGACACAAGCAGGGGCACACACTCAGGGTTAAAAAGTGAGGTTAGTTTGCTTATTTAGTCACCCAAGGTTCTGGAAATGTGCTCACCGAAGGCTTGGATGCCCACTGAAGCCAGTGCATTTTGGTACAGAAAGTCTGGAGAATAAGAACGGACAGAGGAGAATATTTGGCAAACAGTCATCGCCTGGCCTCGGAACTCAAGAGTCGGAATGGGCCGTGTAAAGGATGCTACAAACCCACAGGAGCTGACGTGGAAGGACCTCTGAGAAACATCATTGCGTGAAAGATGCAAAGTGCAGAAACAGAATGTGTGGTACAACCTCACTTGTGTATACGTCCACACACGAACACGACTTGCTGGAAGGTTACAGAAAAGACAGTGAACAGTGAGACCAGTACTTGGGGACGGGGAGACATGGTCTTTTCATCCTTTGTCCTTCTCTACTGCTTAACTGTCTACTTCATCACAGACAGAGAGTATTTTAATAATCGTCTTTACAAAAGGGATTGGGACCTCCTTCACCTCCTGCCAGCATCACCTGTGGTGAGAGACAAGACAGGCTATGGTTCCTCAGACAAAACTAAACTGTACTCGTCTCACCTGTCACCTTAGAGCAGCTCTCAGAAAGGGCCAGTTCTGGTCCAGAGGGAGCCGGTTTTACAGTTAGACACAGGCTATAAGCCACACATCAAACGAGAGGATTCTTCCAAGTGCTAGAACCATGTGTGTATGAGAGCAAAGGTCCTGGCTTATCCTGGGCTGTATTCTATGGAATAAAAGCACGCACTCCTTCTGGTCTTTCCTTATACTAATGGCCAGCTTTAGAGGATTCAAGGTCCTTTTCCAAGAGAAGTTGTTGTAATGACCATCGTTGTCAGAGACCCTCACTTCAGACAACGGGAACGTGTCAATTCATACCATGTGAGGCACACACTCACCACGGAAGCTCCCCGAGGCTTGCAATAGAGCTACTTATTTATATTGATAATTATGTTAAAGGTCTCATGTCTTTCCCTTTCTCTTTCAAGCAGAAAAATATTTGGGAGAGTAAGCACCAAAGAATAGGAAGACTTCTTGCCTCTCATTAGCAAAGTAGAAGATGTGTCTTAGGCTGGTTTAAAGGCTTAAATCAAACCTAAATACATCACGATGTGGCAGAGTCTAGTCTCCAAAGGCTGGTTAGTGTTCATATGTTGTCTGTGAAGCTCCCCGAGTCTTGAGCATCTCAATTTTAATTAGCATCACTCTTGCTGGTTGCACTGAAGGGCCAAAAGAATGAACCCACCTGCTACCCAAGAGAACTGATTAGATGCAGCGCAAGGCTGCCTATGGCATTGATCACTCCAGGGCCCCTTCCTTTTACCTGGAGAGCTGCTGCTCTGTATAAACAACTTTGCAGAGCAATTATTAAAAGAACACAGTACCAAGAGATGTCCTTAGTTTTAGGAAACACACATGGAAATTATTTAGGCGTAAAGAGGCATTACGTCGCTACTTACTCTGAAATGGTTCAGGAAAAAAATATGTACGTGTCTCTGTACATACAAGCACTCAGAGATGCAGAAAAAGAATGATACAGCAAATGTGGGAAAATGTTAACGTTTAGGGAATCTGGGTAAAGGTAATGCAGGAATTCTTTACACTATTTTAGCAATTCTTCTGCAAGACTGAAATTAGAAAATATTTCAAAATAAATTTTTAGAAGAAACATTGTACTAACTTTCATAATGAAACCATCACCAAACTCTCTAAACAAGCTAAAGACACTGTGAAATACAAGATTTTGAGGTGACGGTGAAGATGAACCTGATCGTGCATTCTCATCGCAGCGGCTCCTGCACTTGCTCTCAATGTTCTTGTTCTCTTTACTGCAAGGATGACAATGTCCTCATGAAAGTTACTCTCTTTTTTTCCTGTCTCTTTTTGATAAAATAAAGACAATAATATCCCAAGAAAGCCTACCCGTGAAAGGCAAGCCTACTTCCAAAGTGCCCAGCTCATCTCTCAACTCTGGAATATATTTGTCGGTGTTAACTTGATAGATTAATTTCTCTCTCTCTACTAACCACTGAAGTAGAGTGAATGTTTTTGGCTTGCCTGTGAACCAGCTATTCTGCTCCTTGGTGCCAATGGATAGAATTCAAAAGAGGAAAATCCATTAACTTTCCACTTCCGATATTTGGATAAACTGTTATTTAATATCATGGGCGGGATGAATGGAAACTTGAGGATTGTTCTTGGGCATTTTATTCACATGAATAATAAATCAGGATAAAAGCTTACAAAATTCAAAGTGACACTGGGTCAGAATCTTGGGCTCATGTGTGCCTCTAATGGCATGCTTTAGGGACTAAAGCCTTTTTTCTGGCAAAGCAGAAAGAAAGAGCTTTCCTTCCCCTGGTGAGTTCTCCGGATTCTGTGCCAAGCAGGCTGGCGGCATCACCCTTTCAGACAGCACCTCCTCCTCTACCTGACTCTACGGGAGGCGGCCTGGATGCTCTCACTTCTCACTCAGCAACTGAAAATTAACCTATTCAGGGCTGACATCTTTTTTAAATTTAGAAATAAAAGGTGTCTTCTTACATGGGTTCTTCTGAACATTAATGAGCCTCTTCTTGATGACTCAGGTTTCTTGTTCAAACATCAGCAAAATGCTGAGCGGAGGGTCTCTGTGTCAGTGGAGCAGAGGCGCCTCTACGCTGGTTTCTTGAGAAAACCGACACCAGTTTGCTTTGTGCGTTTTTTCCGTGAAGAAGAAAAGACAGCTTCATGGTTGCCTCATCTCCAGGAGAGCATAACACAGCTGTTTTCGTTTTACAAAATAAATCAGTATACAAGTGATCACCCCGCCTTCCAGAAAACATCTTCATCTTCACAATTGTACATGGTGGCCTTCCAGGGAGACAGTTCTGCCCGGGATTGGACTCGCCCACCGTGGGCCACCACAGCACAGGTTCTTTCTTCTGGTACGCAGGCTCTTTCCTCCCCACTTCCACTCCTGCGCCCGGGTGGTGAGCAGGGGCACCTCTGAGCCTCCAGACTCACCACCCTCAGGGGTGATGGCCACAGTCCCACACGCCCGACACCGGTCACTCTCATACATAAAGGATGACCTTAAGCAGAATCCAGGATATGGCTGCATTGCAGATCCCAACCTAACGTTGCTGTGAGATGCAAGGTCCTGTGTGGAGCTTCCTAATGGATTAACTGCATCACGAAATGTCTTTTGTGCTGGAATTTCACGCTTTCCAGGGCACTTTGGTCTAGCTTCAATGATGTCAAGTTGGGAGGCAGGAAAAGGAAAAAAGACAGGACACTACGGGAACCCTGATTCCTCCAGACAAGCTCTGTCGCTGTCCAGCGATAGAATCCCTCTAATCTCTTCGGTAAGTCAGTGATTTTGGAATAATCTTTCATTGGAGGTTCAAAAACAAAACAAACAAACAAAAAAGAAACAAAGATGAGACTCCCCAGCTTACAAGTATAAACTTGATTTCCAGAAGCACCCTGCAGATAACTGTGGGTACCTGAAATCTTACTGCTCGTATTTACAATAACTAAAGGCTTGATTTCACAGGAGGCAGGAGATAACAGTCTTCAATCCGATAAATCTCAGGGAAATTGATTCACCAGCACTTGCTAAAAAAGCATGGAGCAAACTTCACCCAGACAGACAAGTTTAGCTAGCCAGGGCTAGAAACACTGCTCAGAGGAGAGATGCTCTCCGAAATGGGTTCACTGCGCACGTTAAGTAAGAGCCTCTGGCAGCCACACGTTTGCCTGAGTGTTTTTTGGCGGCCATAGCTAGGCCACTACTGCTGCATCTCTCTCTGAAATAACAAAACCACCTGTCAGAGAACACTCAGCTCTGTAGTTTATCTGTCAACTCTTTTGACTTCTTAATTAGCTCTGGATCAAGGATAGAGCTTTTCACGGAGAAAGTTGGGAAACCACATCACAGAATACGTTATACGCAGTTAGTTCTCCTCTGCTGCTGGGTTAACCCTGGCCTGTTCTGCAGCCTCAGTGATGTTTTGACTTGGGTCGCTTTCTTCTGTTGTCAATTTCCTCTTCCACCGCTTGGACTGTTCCCGGCGTGTGGTCTTTCTGCTCTAGCATGGCACCACGAGAGGAGACTGATGTCCTAGGAGGCTGCTGAAATGCCCCCTTCATGTGAGATTCCGAGCCAAACTCTGCTGCCGTGCAGGTGGCAGGGCACAGGGACTAGGGGACACTGAGCTCTCTTGGGGACCAGGACTTCCCTAATCTCTCTTTTGCCCTTGACGCTCTTCTGCTTTGGGACAGAAGGTGCTGCTCACCCCCCTCAGCCCCTGACTTCTAATCCCCACTGTTGTTTCTGTCTCCCTTATTGTACCATCTCTTGTCCATTTGTATTTTACTAGCTTCTTCCTTTTTGGTATACTGGTTCTCGAGTAGAACGTGGGCTTCTGCCTGAGAAATCCTGCTGTGAGCACATGAGGTCTCTCCCTCCCTTCTGACCAGAGCTCTCACCAAAGAGGCCTTGCACACAAAATCGTCTGTTTTAGGACCTCAGTCCACAATTTCTGCCTCTGTTTGTAAGTTCAGGGGCTGTTTCTTCACAGCCAGAGGCACTTTATTCTTTCTTTTTATTCTAACCAGCACTCAGTTAAAACACAAACAAACAGCAGCACTCCAGGAACAAATAAACAAACAACACTGCTCACGGCTCAACTGCCAGCCAGGGGCAACTTCGCTTCCAGTGGTTTACACAGCCCACAGGGAACAACCTACACCTCGGCTGCCGGAGCCAAGTCACCATCTTGTTTCTCCTACATCTGAGTTTAGGGCCGCAGTATCTATGAAAAGTGGGAGACTATGCAAATAAGCACTTTCTTCTGAAAATGAGGTGAGAATAAATAGAAAAAGATGTGTTCTATGGCTGACTTTCCTGCACCTCATCTCTTTCTGGAATGTGATTGACAAGTAATTGCACTTTGCTCAACACTTAAAGCAGGGTCAGTGTGAGTTTCTATGTTGCTCCTGGAAAGAAACTAAGCTGTGTGTAAGATGCTCTTGTATACCTTTCATATTTAATTTAAGAAGGCTAAATAAATATGAAAGGGAAAAAAGAAAATCCCTAACAGAATGTTCTACTGAGACGCTTTGCAGCATCATTTATCACTGTCTTCACCTTCCTCCCTCCTAAAACCAGGTTTTGTAAATTGAAGGGCAAGTGTCCTATGAGAGCCCCTGAAATCGGTGCCCAGGACTAGCTAGAGAGAAAGTGGGGTGGCAGATACATACGGGCCCTTATGTGCAATGATGATTCAGGAGGAAGTCAACTGACCTGAATAATTTTAGTTTTTCTTCAGTTTGCTAAAAATATCTTGAAAAAATAAAATCAGTGGGCTAACCACCAGCAGTTTTATTCTTGGAGTAGAGGACACACGAGCATATTTGATGAAGAAGTTGCTGCTCTAAGAATAAAGCTGTGTGCCACCCAGTCAGTAACTCAGCCAACCCGGGAAGGTCCCCTCTGCCTGCTGACGAGGCATCTGTCAGAGGAGACAGATTTGGGCCGAACCAACGCAGTGGATGCTTCTGAAACTGACTGTGGAATAAAGCCACTCTCTTTGCAGTCTTGAGGGCAGAGGCACCACGGTGACTACCCAACGCTGGCCGAGATGGTGGCAGAGCTGGAAGGCACGGGTCCCCCTGGCCCTTAGAAATGGGATGCAGGGAAAAGCAGACTCCTGGGAGGCACTGCAAAGTGGCAGGTGGTGTGAGTGAGGAGGCTGGTGTCTTAAAGACTCAGTTTATCTTCAAAGATAGAAACATTAAGAAAGACAAACAGTGGCTGCAACCAACAATCAGAGAACTGGTGTATGGCAGTCATTGAGATGGGGTGATGGTGCAGTGGGATAAGAACACGGATCCCAGAGCCAGAACACCAGAGTGTTCCACCACCTACCAGCTGTGTGTCCTAAGCAAGTTACTCAGCCTCTCTGTGCCTCAGTTTTCTCAACTGTAAATTGGGGACAGCAGTACCCACCTCACAGTTGTGAGAGTTAAATGAATTAATTTTTAAAGCCCTGAGAACAGGGCCTGGTACATAGTGTTTGTCAAATAAATGAAAAAAAAAAAGGGATCACACAGCAAGTCATCCAGGAAGAGTCTGAACAAAGGTGGCGATGCCAGAAATGGTGGTTGACACACACTCCTTGCGGCAGGGGCAGTGGCCTATGTGGGTACTGTACCCAGGGCCTGCCAATGAGCTGGCGATGATTTAGTCCTGCTTCAGGGCTACCACTGGTGCGGGGCAGATCCACGAAAGCTGGAGACTCAGAGCAAGGCCGACGGCTCTGCTGGACGTGTGAGTCCATGACGTCCAGGCCCCGACCGGACCTGCCCTGGCTCTCTCACAGGTTTGGGGGGTGCTCTGCAGCCGCTCCCCACCTCTGCCTGGTCTGCCCTCACTCTCAGAGTCAGCCGGAACCCTGGTTGCTCAGATCACAGAATTCGGGGCAAGGCTTTTCCACCCTGCAGAGGCCAGGGGTCACTGGCCTCCTCTCTCCAGAAGAAAGGGTGGGTGGGACACCTCCAGGCTTTGGGGACACTCACCACTTTGGGCTTGAACGGTGGCTGGATCTCCCTGTTCTCCAGTTTCTCCCAGTCGATCCTCCGGAAGAAGGCGTGTTCTCGCACGTCCCTCTCGCCCTCGGGCCCACAGCCCAGCCGCTTGCCGGGGTGTTTGGTCATCAGCTGGAAAGTACAGGGAGAAAGAGGATGTAATGTATAACATGGTGGCTACAGTTGATGATCCTGTATCGTATAACTGAAATTTGCTAAGAGAGTAGAACTGAAGGATTCCTCCCCCAAAAAAGGGTAAATATGTGAGGTGATGGATGCGTTAACTCAATCTTTTCACTATATCTATGTATATCAAATCATCATGTTGTACACTTTAAAGATATTACCATTTTAGGGGCCGGCCCCGTGGCTTAGCGGTTAAGTGTGCGCTCCACTGCTGGCGGCCCGGGGTTCGGATCCCGGGTGCGCACGGATGCACCGCTTCTCCGGCCATGCTGAGGCTGCGTCCCACATACAGCAACTAGAAGGATGTGCAGCTATGACATACAACTATCTACGGGGCTTTGGGGGGAAAAATAAATAAATAAATAAAATTAAAAAAAATAATAAAGATATTACTATTTTATTTGTCAACTATACCTCAATAAAGCTGAAAAAGAAAGAGAAACGACAGGACTCACAAAAAAAAAAAAAAAAAAAGGAGAAAGAGAGAATGCTGGATGACAGTGCCTTCCCTTTGTAGCTCTGCCTCCAGCTCTGACAGCGTGGACGCCTGGGCAGCGTCTCAGGATGCTTACCAAGAAACTCAGTGTCTTGCACAGAGTGACGCCAACTCACAAATACAGTGTGACAAGTATGGCCCTTTCTATGGTGATTTTCATGATAAGGAAAGGAGGAAGGAATCTGGGCCCACAGCCAAACGTACAAACTTAATCAGGCATCTTTATACACTATCTGTTTCGGGCTGCCATTTATACGTATATAAAAATATGTATCCAAAAAGGTATGTAATCACCAAAAATTGTGTGTACTAAAAGGATCATAGCCAGTATTACATATGATACTCTAACCAGCATCATATGCCTGTTTACTACCTAGACCAAAATATTATCAATCAAAGGCTCACAGATTGGAAAAATAAATGCTGTGATAAGGAAGGTGACCAGCTGATTTCAATGTGCTACCACAGGACTTGCCCTTGGAAGACACATGATAAATGCTTCCCAAATGATCAAACTCACCAGAAAATGTTAGGAGTGAGTTGTACTTCATCTTATTAAGTCTGAAAATAATTTTGCGACCTAAAAGTTGACTATTGAAAACCAACCAAGTCACAACCCCATGATTCCACTCCTGGGTACTTCCTCGACAGAAATGCATTCTGTTCCCCAAAACACATGACCCAGAAGGTTCGTGGCAGTTCTATATGGAACAGCTCCAAACCAAAGTGGAAACAACCCAAAGGATAGAATGGGTAGGTAAGCAGTAGAATGGATAAACTGGTTATGTTCATACAATGGAATGCTACACAGCAATACGAAAGATGGGACTACGACCACACGCAGCAATATGCAGAAATCTCACGGTCACAACGTTGAGGGAAAGAGGCCGTGTCCAGGGAGTGTCCACTGCAGGATTCCATTCGCGCAAAGTTCAAAACAAGCGAGACTGAGCCGTGCAGCTACAAGGGGCACTGCTTATCTCGGGGGTGGGGAGTGACTGCAAGATGGGATAAGAGGGGGCTTCCTGGGCGTTGGAAATGCTCTCTTTCTTGACCTGGTTGCAGTTGCATGGGAGTATTCATTTTGTGAAAATTCACTGATCTATACACTGATGATTCGTGCTTACTTCTGTATGATGTTACGTCTCAAAAAAAGGAGACGAACAAAGAACTAACCAAGACGTACCACATGAGGCAACAGAAGAGAACAAACATTTTCTAAAGGCCTGCGATTACTTCCGGTATCCCGCATGCAATTTTATGAGGTGGCCAGGAAACCGCAGCACAGTACCATTAGCTGACCGGGCCAGCGGTCCAGCAAGTAGTGGGGTTTGACTCCGTTCTCCAGGCCTCCACTTTCTCTACTACGCCCTGTATGTCACGAAGCTCCAGCCCTGGACGGCCGAAAGCAGTGGTGTGGGTTTGTGGTCTTTCTGCCATCTGTCTTAGAAGCGTGGGGATGGTATTTACCCTATTGACCCTCCTCGTCCATGATCATAAAAGGAACCCAAATCTACTTACTCCTTTGCAGATGGAAACAGCCTCCTTGGACAATGATTTGGGATAAGAAACGTTGTGCTCCATTATGGACTGAAACAGTTCATCTTCATCTTCGCCATCAAATGGGGGCTATTCCGGAAAAGAGAAAGATGGGAAAATATTCAGGCAGAGCCATATTAACACAGCACCTGAAGATCCAATTCGGCACCAAGAAACAGGCCGGGCTTCTAGGCACGCTGCAGGCTGCAGAGTTAGTTCACTTAACGTGCGGGTTTATTTGATTATCTTTAATTAGGTTGGCGGTTGTGTGTTTTTCATTTTTTCCTCTGTCCCTTTCATTATCTTGCCCTGAGCAACCCAAAGCAATCTTTAGGGAAAATGTTTCTGAGTAATGCTTTTAATGATTTGCAAATAAATTATAATTAATCCATTAATCTTGTAACTATATGTTAAAAAATCTAATTATGATCAAGTTAGGTTACAGATAACTTGGTGTTCAGAAGGTGGAGGCGGGTGGAGAATGCTAATGCCTTTGGGTTCTAAATATAGGGTGAAGGGGCTGTCAGAACACAGGCAAAGAGGACTCCCCAGGTTCAGGAATTCATACCAGGGCCCTTCTGACCCAACAAAGAGCTGCTGGGGGGGGGGGGGCCTGCCGCCTGCATGGTGGCAGTGACGGGGGTGTAGCTTCCACTGGACATCTCCCTGTCCTCTTCTACTGGGTTTGCAGTCTCCATGCGGAGAGCAGGACACATGGTGCACTGGGGGAGGTCATGGCTGTAAAGTCAGGTGGGTCTGCACCAGAATTCTAGCGCTACCAACCTCCTCGCTGGGGGCCCACAGGCAAGTGACTCACCTCTTCAAGACAGTTTTCCAATTTGTAAAATGGGGTTCCCTGGTGAGTCCAAAAAGCACATGATATTTTGTCTTGTATACAGTAAGCGCCCATAGAGGGTGCTTAGTGGTATTGGTATTGTCATTAAAGCAGACGAACTGTCTTAGAAGGGGCTGCTAGGATCCTCAGGAGGAACAGGTGAGTCAGGATGCCCTTCAAGCTTTGTCCTCCAGCATGACTTGAATCTTGAGAGGTCTAGTAAATTACCTGTCACTCTGGCGGGACGGCACACAGCATAAGTGAGTTTATGGGAAATTTCTAACGTTCCCCTTTGGCTTAGCTAAACTTAAGCTTAGCATTAGAAAGGCAAACCAGGGTCAGCCCTATATAGAGAATCCACCTATGTTTAATCTTGTCGTATTTTCCTTCTCGTGGAAAAGAGGACTCATAGTCACTTTGGCCAACAGGGTTAGGGCTCAGATAATGACAGTCTGGCTTAAATTTAAATGATATCATGGACCAAAGAGAACTGTGCAGGAGTTACTAGGATATCCCTTCTTATCAAACATTTCCCCTGAGAGAGAGCAACTGAACCAAGTCCTCCCTCAACTGCGTCTCACAAATCGTCCCAACCTGTTCCTCTGACCCCCAACCCTCGTCCTCTCTGCTGACCCCAGCCCTAAACAGGAGTTGGGTGTGGAGTCAGCACACAGGAACCACACTCACCCGAGGGAAAGATGCCAAGTCTATAAAGAACCCCACCTAGGGACCAGGCATGGGAGAACGAGGGGTTGGGTGATTAGCACCACTTTTTTTTTTTTTTTTAATCTAGAAATATAAATAAATAGGCCTCTTTTCCGGTTGTAAGTGCCTGGTGTAAAGAATGTTTAATTTGGTCGAAGCAGGCAGGTGGGTGAGGAGAACTACAAGTAGCCCGCCTGTGAATGACTCAGAGCAGAGCAGGGGCAGCCTGCATGGTGCGTTTCCATGGGCAGAAGTAACATGGCGTCTGGGATGCTCACAAGGCAAGGTAGTCGGGGGTACACACCTCACTGGGGAGTGTAGGCTGCAGATGGTCACCTGTGTCAGCAGGGGGATGTGTTACTTCCACATACAGAGAGCAGAGTAGGACAGGGTGGGGCCGTGGCTGCACCCGGCCAGGAGCTATGGTGGAGGCCGGTCCTACTGTCCATCCCACCACATCTTCTCTGCCTGATATCATACAACCTACTTCTTCTGAACACCTGTTACATGACACCTGCAAAACATCTCATTTTCCCTAAGAAGAGATCCATATATGTGGCCCAGGAGATTTTTGTACCGAAAATGAACACGTCGTGGTTTGTGCTCAGGGCTGTGAATTGCACACCTCCAGGGGGCCCCATTCACTCTGAATTTGCTATGTGTACTCTACAATGTCATAGTGCCCTGGGGGTGAGCAGGGCACAGGTTCTCCTTCTGGACATCCAATTGACACCTCATAGTGTGGCCCCTTAGGGCCACTGGTCAGGACAAGCTACATAATGTGCGGGTCTCAGTGCAAAATGAAAACGCGGGGCTCCTTATTTAAAAATTAATAATAATATCAAGATGGCAACAGCAGAGCACTAAAGCAAACGTGCAGGGCTCTTCGAGGTTGGGCACCGTTCGCCTTCACAGGCCGCAGGCCCACGAAGCTGGCCAAATGCGGTGTGCTTTGCTGAGTAAAGAAACAGCACCAGGAAGGTTCAACCAGCCCTTCTGACAATGCTCAAGTACTGGCAGCAGGAATGCGACACAGGCTGAGTCACAGACAACCCAAGCCAAAGGCCTAAGGAAACACACCTGGAATTATTTAGGTGTAAAGAGGCATTACGTTGCAAGCCTAAGAGACACCTTCTCCAAAGAGAAACTCAAGTGAACCTTCCCCAGGAGCCTCTCTCAAGTGAGGCAGCGAGAAGATCCTTCCCATTTGAAGACCATTAGGTCAATGCACCTGCAGCCTTTCTTTCCCCTCCAATGGGGAAGACAGGAATTGGTTGGGGAACATTCTGTGCAGGGCACCGGCCTATCACACCTGTTTAACTGTGTCTTGACATGGCAACCAGCGTTGCCCCCGTGAGCTTCCCCACATATGCTAATTCCTGAAACGGATCCTGCTGTGTCAGGGATTAGGCCTCATCTACTGTGGGTCCAAGGAAGACTTTCACCACAAAGTCCTCCGTGTCCGTGTCCCAACTGAGGGCAGGATGCCTGGCTCCTGACACACCCCAGAGAGTATTCCTTAGAACATCAGTCCTACAGGATATTCCTAGGTCAAAGGGGGTACCTTATAACCCCTTCTGGAGAGTTGCAGTAACATTTACATTTTAAAGGCCCTGAGAAGTCCTGCAGTAAAGAAGTTGTTTAACCCGATGTGAATCATTACAGTCTGGGGTTGGAAGGATCCTCAGAGGCCCCTTAGGAATATCTGTTGCAATAAAATTCCTGAACTATAACAAAAGCCACAAGACCACATGTCCTGTGGCAGAGCCTCAGGGTTTCACCCCATGGTCCATCCCTGGGGGGTCCCAGGACTGAGGCTTCTCCTGTCAGCACATCCTGGGGAGGACACAGGCTTCTCCCCCTGAAGTACAGCTATCACCTGCCGTGAGTCTATCCAGCATCTGGGAGAGAGCAGCAGTAAGGACAACAGCAGTAGCAGTAACATCGACCTCTCAGGCTCTTCACTTTGCAGGCATCACTCACTCAATCCTCCAACAACCTTATGACGTAGGTCTATTAATCCCATTTTACGGGTGAGGTCACTGAGGTTCTGTTAAGTGCTTTGGCCAGGGTGACAGAGCCGGGGTGTCAAAGAACCAGGATTCAAACCCGGCATCCTGACGTCGGAGGCTGGGCTCCCAGCCGTGCTGAGCAATGCCCCTTCCCTATGCTCGCTCACCCGGGTAGGTGGACAAGGAGGGATGACCCCCAGCGCTGCTGCTGGTAGGGGTGAGCGGGAGGTGCTTGGCTGCGGGTCCACCCAGCAACGACGGAGGACTCCACATGGCGGAAGGCCATTTTGGTAAACTTGAAAAGGCTGATTCACATCCCGCACGACGGGTAGGGGGTAGTTCTGACAATCAAGACGGGGCACTCACCATGACCTGAGATGTTTCAGGTCACTGTGTGACAGTGACTGTCTCTAGGCTAGAGACCTGGCATGATTTCCCAGCCCTAATTTGGATTCTCTCTGGCTCGTGGCACATGTCCACTGTGGGTCAGCAGGGGTCACCCAGGGTCCCACGCTGATGGGGCTGCTGCCATCCTGGTCTTGCTCCAGCAGAAATGGAACAGGAGCTCTGGGGTGTCTTGCTCCCGCACTTAAGTGCTCCACCCTGGAGCACGTCCTCTCAGGTCTCATTCCTCAGAACTACTCACGCCCCGAACAATCACGGGTGAGCTGGGAGGTGCAATCCTACCATGAGCCAGAAGGGAGGAAGACCAGAAATACCTGGTGAACAGCAGTAACGACCATCACATTCAGAAAAGCTCCCTGGAGCCCTATTTTAAATCAAAATTATTGGGGCTGTCCCAGTGGCATAGCAGTTAAGTTTGTGCACTCTGCTTCCGCAGAGGCCCGGGGTTTGCAGGTTCGAATCCCGGGCGCGGACCTACGCATCACTCATCAGGCCATGTGTGGTGGTATCCCACACACAAAATAGAGGAGGATGGGCACAGATGTTAGCTCAGGGCTAATCTTCCTCAGCAAAAACAGGAGGGGTGGCAACAGATGTTAGCTCAGAGCCAATCTTTCTCACAAAAAAAATAAATTAAAATTATGTACTCTTGGGGGGAGGGGAGGTCCATAAAAGTAGCATCCATATTCCCTTTACCTAAACACAAGAAATTGCTCTCATTTTTCTGTGGACTCCTAGGCTTTTAATATCATTTTCAAATTATGACGCATAATTTGGAGGTCTTTGTTTTTCACGGACTGTTGTAAACACATTTTCTCTGTGGCCACCAGTGTTCCCAGATGAACGCTGCAGGGGTGATATACCATCAGAAACTGACTCATCTGTCCATGGGCACACTGACTATTGCTTCCAGGGCTGTATTCTAATAACTAATGACTATAAACATCTCTGTGCATCTCATTTTTTTCTTCTCTGAATTACTTCCTAAGAATAATTTCCCAGGTGTGGGGTTAGGCAGCCAAAGGATGTGGACATCTTTATGGCCCTTGTTAAGTCTCTCCAGCTCACCCTGGGAGCATTTTTTCAGGTAACTGCTTGCTCTCAGGCCTTGGTGGTGAAGGCAAGTTAGTGGTGAAAAGTTATAATTATATTCATTTTCCTTCCCAGGAATGCCAGCTACTGAACCTGGGGACCACGGGGGTGATGTGCTGCCGAGGTACTTAGCACATGACCCTTTTGGATTGCTTCTCTCTCCTCTTTCCCCCATTCCCATGATTAGTTTTAAATTTCTAAAAATCTGGACTCAGTGTTTCAAGTTAAGCTACCTGTTAACAAAAGTCTTGGCTTGGTGTACAAATTTTCAGAACTGGGGGTGCCCTCCTTAACAATATGTAATTTGTGAATTTTAAACAGACAAATGAGGGGTGATGGTTCAGATTTTCCAAAATGATTCCTAAATCACTTACTAGTAAGCGGTCTTCGGGGTGCTGCCATGTTTATTTGCAGATCACTGGTGACCAGGGGTGGGGGTGGGAGAGCCAAGGACAATTCAGGTTGAAGTTCTGGGATAAAGTACTCAACGCCGATTCACCAGGAATGAAGACAAGGTGTTAATAACGCTGGCAGAAGGGAGGGCTGGTCCCTTTATGATGAATACCCGGGAACACTTTGAGCCATAATATGTCATTAGAGTGCTAGGTAAACACTATTTGTGCCCGAGAGTAATCATATCTGTCAAGCAATTCAGGAACTGAAGACAGACTCAGGCTGTTTATACTTAACTACCCCCTCGGCTGCTGACCATAAATAAAGCAAATGAGAAGAAAATTGCAATAAACTTATCTTTTTCTGCTCATCTTCAGCCTTCTGTGATTAAAGAGGACAAACTTAGACCACAACGCCATCAACAACTTTACCATTTATCTTACTTTTCAATAACAGCATCTAGTCCCTCTGTGGGGTCTCTGAAGCCCCTGTAGCTTTGAGGGGCCGTGGGTAATACGTACAGGACCTTCATTATCCTTCCTGGGCTGAGTCACAGCCCAGGAACACGTTTATATCTGCACTGAGGAGTCAGAGAAAGACTAAGCAGGGGTGCTGATGCCAGTCCTGCGCTTGCAGCAGGCACAGCGAAGACTCAGAGGGACAATGGCTGTTATCCGTGCCCACCGTTGCACCGGAACGTGGGACGCCTTTAAGGTGTCACTTTTTATGAGTGTCATCATTTTCAACAGAGATGACGGAAATTTCAAGGGATCACGTGAGGCAGGCTAATTGACTCTGAGAAGCAGGATGGGAAAGGATGAAAAGGTGCCAGAATGTTTACAGAACTACTGGGTGCGGGGAGGGCCCTGCACTCAGTCGCTCAGTCAGGCACACGGAGGAGGTAAATCTTCAAGTCAGGGGCCTCAGGGCCAGTCTGCAAATGAGGCAGGACTTCAAAATGCAGCATTTCCCAAGCTTGCCCATGGGAAGCAAGCCCCAGGGCAATGAAGGGAATGCCGTCCCAGGTAGGCTTGGAGAGGAAGGAAGATGGGGATGGGGGTGCAGTGGGGGTGGGGAGTGACTCTGCTGAAGGCCTGGGTTCTGAAATTCTAGTCTCCTGCTGGCCAATGAGAGTCAGCTCATTTTCTCTCTTGTCAAGCGCCCTTGGAAACAGATCCTGGCTATTTCCACCCAACCAATTTCATTTGCTGGAACATGCAAATGTGACTCTTAATGAAAGCAGTGTTTGTTTTCTGGACTCAAGAGTCAGGACATTCAAGTGGGATCAAGGAGGGGAACACAGCTTTTTGACTTCACTAACTGCATAGCTCCCAGGGGGCCGATAACTCAGTCAAATTTTATTGTCAAAATTCTAAAGAGGGGAAATGAACTTAAGGAGCAGGCAGACAACTCACTGACAGCCGTTCTATATAACTTGCTTTTTCATGTTTACAAACCGAGGTATTTGGCCTAAGAATGTTTTATTGGGTGAAAAAAAGCCCTAAATAAATAATACATAAACCACTTTTTAAATATCAATCAAGTCTTAACATCATTGAGAAATTATGACCACTTGTAGGCCAGTACCTTATATCTTCTAATATCTAAATGACTACTTTGGTGTCTAAAAGATATAAGACACAATGAAAGAGACACAAAGGTGAGATCATCCATGGTATCCCACCTCAGAGGGAAAGCCAATGGTCTTGTGATGATCCTCATGCCCACATGACCTGGTGCTGCCCCTTCCCCTCTGACCTCAGGCTTCCTACTTCCCTCTCTAGCCCACTCTGCTCCAGCCACACTGGCGGCTTCCTGCCCATTTCTTCACAACATAGCTGCAGGCTCTCACCCCAGGGCCTTTGCACTTGCTGTTCCCTCTGCCTGGAAGAGGGATATGCACATGGACATCCTCTCACTTCCTTCTGGTGTTAACTTGTTCTCTACCCGAGGCCCTCCCTGGCCATCCTAGCGAAAATTTCAACCCTCTCCCAACACTGTATCTTCTTTTCCTGCTTTGTTACTTTTCTTCTTAGCTTATCACTATTATATATTTTCCTTATTTAAATTGTCTCTCTCTTTCTCTAGACCGTAAGCTGCATGAGGGTAAGAATCTTTGTTTTGTTCACGGCTTTCACTATTCACATAGTAAGCATTCAATAAGTATGTGTTGAATGAATAAATGAGTCAATGGATGTAACATGTCAGAAAGAGTGACTTTTTCCCCCAGGAACAAAGATTCAAAGATTTCTTTGCAGGTAGCTCTGCTGCTCAACACCAGCATTTCTTTCCCTTCTCCCTTACTAAGGCTTTTGGCTATGGAGGGTCCAACTACCTGGCACTCGTAGTTGAGTGCTGGGAATTATAAAAAGCTGCCCACGACAGAATCATTTTTAGGTATAATGGCAGAGATCTGGTAGATGCTCACCAACCCTGCTTCCCTTGCTGAGCTCACAGGTACACCATCCTTCCCAGCCCTCTGCGTCTCAGTGGGGCCATGTGGCCAGCGGAATGCAGACAGGAGAGATGCATGCCACTTCCAGGCCTGGCCCCTAAAACACTCTGTGCAAGTGTCCTCCTGCTGTCTCTTCATCGGCTGCTTGAGTAAGGAGGATCCAGTGGAGGAATCAAAGGCCGTAAAAGATGGAGAAGCCCGGGTCCTTGAACGACTCCGTGGATCAGTGCTCTCCCTCCCCCCCCCTCCCCCCACAGAACTGTGCCAAGAACGTGAAACAAGCCTGTGTTGCATGTGAAGCCACTGGGATTTGGGGGTTGCTTGTTAGAGCAGCTAGTGTGACTTACCCCAATGATACAGATATTAAGTCCATTATATTAGAAAGTGCCACGCTAGGCAGTAATGCACTTGGTTATCTGATATATGTCACATCCCTAAGAGAAACCTAATTTGCCTTCTCTTAACCAGAAGTTCAGCCTCACTGGACTTTTGTGAAAATTACAGTGAACTGCCAAGGGTGAGATCAGGGAGATGGGGAAAAGCTATTAAAACCCTTCTTCAAGTTTAACTGTCTCCTTCCTTTAATAATAATACCGATTATACACATGGGCAGCAGCTGGGGTAATTTTTGCAGAAAAACTTGCAGGGAACCAGAACCCAACCCTAGTTCTGAGACACTGAAAACTTACAGAGGCCATTGTCATCAACGTGCAGGGGCTTTTGCGTATAAAGTGAAAGCTACGTTGTCTACACTCCAGGTTGTAGCTTTCAATTTGGTGTTTTTATGATCAGAAGATAATTTCTGTGCGTACTGAATATAATCCACTCTCTTTCTGAGTCGGGGAAGTGAGACCAGCATCAGCTCTACCACACGGCCAGGTCCTGCTCTCATGCCCAAACAGAGCTGAAGTATTCACATTATCCAGCAATAAACCAGCAAGAAAACGTAGCGAAACATACCTGCCCAGCCAGCATTTCATACAATAGGACGCCATAGGCCCACCAGTCCACGGATTTCCCATATGGCTGATAAGCGATTATCTGTGTAAAAACAAATACATCAATTACACTTAGTGGTCAATCAAACAGCCTGTGTTAGAACAGATAAGTCAAGCACGTAGGCATTTACACACTCAGTTCATGCAAATGAGGCGATGATAGTATCTGTCTTTGATTCCACACCAAGGGAAGAGTGCCCTTCGAATCACACACACCAAGAACTATCGCCCCGTGATTCACTGCCCAAAACCTGTTTGGGAACTCCTCTTCTGAATCCACCTGGAGATGCCACAGCACTGTCTGAGGTAGATGTAATTATCTTCATTGGTGAAAAACTTTGGACACTAAAGTAGATTTTAGTTTTTGGAAAAAGCCAGAGGTCATTCAGAGCAGGGGTCTGATAGATAAGATCAAACTATGTAACAGAGTTTTGCTAAAAGTAATAACGATGCTGATGCTGATGAAGAGGAGGAAGGAGGAGGAGGAATGACTAAAGTAAAAATTCCAGTTTTCTTGTGTTGTGCTTAGAGGTACAATGATGTCTGTGAATGACTGAAGTTTTAAAATGTGTTGAAAGAGGGGCCGGCCCCGTGGCTTGGCGGTTGCGTGCGCGCGCTCCACTGCTGGCGTCCCGGGTTCGGACCCCGGGCGCACCCTGACGCACCGCTTCTCCGGCCATGCTGGGGCGATGTCCCACATACAGCAGCTAGCAGGATGTGCAGCTATGACATGCAACTATCTACTGGGGCTTTGGGGAGAAAAAGAGAAAAAAGAGGAGGATTGGCAATAAAAAAAAAAACATATATCTATAAAATGTGTTGAAAGAGATATAAAATATAACAAGCAAATGTAATATCTGGACCTTGTCTGAATCTTGATTCAAACCAACCATTTAAAAAAATTGGGAAAATTTAAAAATGGTCTTGATATTAGATGATACTGAGCGATTACTGGTAATGTTGTTAGGTGGGATAAATGGTATGGTGATTAGTTAAAAAGTGTCCTTTTCAGTTAGAGAGGAGTGTATTTATGAGTGAAACGTATGAGAGATGAAGTATCTGTGGGTGAAGTGTCATGATCGTATATTTGTTTTAAATACTTTAGTAAAATAGATGGGGGAGGAACAGATGAAATGAGTTGGCAAGATGTAGGCACCGTTGAAGCTGGGTGATGGCCCCACAGAGACCTTTCCCTCTCCTCCCTCTACTTGCTGGCTGTCAGAAGAGATTAACTCTACAACCCCCCCCTTGTGAAAGGGAGTAATGCTGATCTGAATTTTTTTATTTTTCTTTGTGAGGAAGATTGGCCCTGAGCTAACAACTATGCCAGTCTTCCTCCATTTTGTACGTGGGATGCCTCCACAGCACGGCTTAATGAGCGATATGTAGGTCCACGCCCAGGATCCGAACCCGTGAACCCCGGGCCACTGAAGCGGAGCACGCGAACTTAACCACTACGCCACTGGGCCAGCGCCTGATCTGAATTTCTAAGTGTGGGATGGCTTATTAGAACACTGGCTTTGCTGCCTCACAGGCAGGCTGTGCCCGAAATGCACACAGTTCCCAGCCCCGTGGATCCCGCCCCAGGATTCGAGGTGAAGATACCCTAACAGGTACTCAGCTCGACCATTCTGCCACTTTGCATACAAATTTGACTTTGAAATGTTCTAGCATATTTTTTAATGGCCCACTATGTCTAATCAAACGTCCTGAGACATAAGCAAACTTCCTGCATGTCTCCCCGTCTCCATCTCTTTAACGTAGCACTAATATTTCTCCCTGCAGAACGAGAAACCCAGGCTCCTGTGGCTTGCCTCCGTGTGGGTGGCAGCAAGGGGCTGCACGCTTGGATTTGGCAGCTTTATGGCTCATTTCCTTGACAAGAAAATGATAATCAAAGGAACCTACAAGGAGGCCTTAATTTCTTTTTAAAGCTACATTTGTTCTTTTCTGCAAACTTGGAAAATACACGCACAGAAAGCACAAAAACCTACCAAAATGGGTCTCTAATTTATCACCTGATGACATGAAATGATGCATGTCATTCTAGTTCCCAGACAGAAAATGACCGGATCAAAGCCTGTCTAGCAAGCAGAACAAGAGCAGAAATTCTCTTTGGGAGAATAAGAGCACCCTTGCCGAGCACCTGCTATACATCAGATGCTCTACACGCATTCTGTATAATCCGAAGAGGCAGAAAGTATTATTATTCCCATTTTATAGGGGAGAAAACTGAGGTGCAAAAAGCTTAAGAGACTTGCCCGAAGCCAATCAGTTAATAAGTGGTGGTCTGAATATTGACATATCTGTTTTAAAAATGCAACTGGATGGCTTTCAGATGTATGTAATCACTCATATTGAGATTAATAAAATATTAGTCAAAGGGCTTTGAGAATTATTTTAAAGAGATCTGAAATCATCGGTTCCAACTATATTTCAAAAGCACTTGAATAAAATCTGTTCTTGTAACTATATTAACACCAGTCCCTGCAATCTATTTTTATTAATCAGTATCTTTGTTTTTAACACAAGCCGAGCCGAGGCACCATGCTGCTGTGTGAATTATCAGGCTGAGGAGCAGTGCGGGCTGAACCTCACACTTTATTTCACATTCTATATTCCACAAGTATCCAAGCAGTGTTCCCAACCAGACCCCTCTACTTGGGAGGTGGAAAATGGCACCCGAGTTTGGAAAGCTGCCAGAATTGAAGGGTGTGGAAACCCTGTTTCTGGTGAGAGTGATTCACAAATCCTAAAAGCCATGGTCACCTGGATTTCTGTGGTTCTTTTGACTCTACATCAACTTTGGTCCAACTTGCTTTTCATTTTCTGTTTCCACAGCATTAAACTTATGGCCCTGTGGATAACACCCTCTCCTTCCTCCAAGGCTTACGAAAGCAGAATGTCAAATGCCAAGGGCTCGTTTTTCTTGGCGATAGCGTTCGTCAGTCTCCAGAGCCCGCCAGCCCAGCCATTGGGCCGGGATTACAGTGACTCGGAACACTGTGGTCCCTTCAACTGGAATAATAGGACGGGCTCTAGAATTTAGCTGGAGCATTTCCTCCTGGAGAAGTTTACAATCTGTCACCCCTGGCTTGTGCACTAGATGAAATGTGAATATTCTTCCCTCAATGATCAGCTGCTATTAATAAAACCTCCAATTATCTAAAATCTCACTGCAAAAGGGAAATAGTGTTAGAGAGCCCCATTTAAAGACAAACATTTAGATACACATGATTTAGGATGCTGATTACACTATCCCTTGTGTGCTACCTACCACCGTCCAACACAGTAGCCACTAGCCACATATGGCCACTGGGCATTTGAAACGTGGCTAGTGCAAACTGAGATGTGCTGTGAGTGTAAAATATAGATCACATTCCGGAGCCTTAGTACCAAAAAATACAAAGTTTCTCAGTAATAATTTTTTATTTTGGATATATTGGGTTAAATAAAATATATTAAAATTAATTTCACCTATTTCTTTTTTAACTTCTTAACATGTGGCTGCTAAATGCTCTTGGCTTGCATTTTATTTCTATTGGAACATGCTGGTCTAGACCCTCTCACTGGCTCCTACAGTCCATTCTGGTCCCCCAGGTCTTGTTGGCCCAGGGAGCCAGCTGTGGGTTGAGGACCAGGCTCAGAGACCACAGAATGGATGGTGAGGCTCTCTCATGTCTCTCTGCAATGGGGACAGGAGCAGGTGTCCCTGGCACTTGTGGAACAGTGAAGGCTTGCAGCCAAGCCTGGGGGCTGCCTCACATCCTGAAGCCCTGGGCAGGGGACCGCGCTGCCAATGTGGTTTCCCATAGCAGAGAAACTCACAAAAGGAGAAGCAGACTTGGCAAGAAGGGCTCCGAGTTGGCAGATCTCCCTGCTGCACAGGGGAGGTTGAACTTGAGCTTCAAAGACAGACTTCCAACATGGCCACTGTCATTCAGTCTTACTGCTATTTGTCATTATGATCATTATTATTATAGTTACATGAGCCAATTGCTTGGCAGGGGGGAATGTCAGGATGTTACAAATGGCTGCCTGTCTTGTAAAAGTGAGACATGAATGAGCTTTCTCCTAGCCTGGGCGCAGGACCAGGAATGAAAGGGGCCAGGAACAGCTTCTCATCTCTTACTAGGTGAAAGGCCCACAGTGGCTGGAAGGATGCTGCTCTAAGGCCACCCATCCTTCCACCCTCTGCCGGGGCTACACACTTGAAGGCCTCCCAAAGAGGATGGGGCTTCAGAAGCTCTCTGGGAGAACTTAGGGGCAGCATGGTGAGGTTTTAGATGCTACTGGCAATAGCAACAATTCTGTAACTCACATCACTATCACCACGTTCACTACCTGCCAGGCTCTTTAGCTCTGCTAGCTCTTGTAGCCCTCACGACACTCTTATGGGGTAGAAGCATCCCATTTCAAAGGAAACAAGGTACAAAGAGGTTAAGCAGCTTGCCCGAGGTTACATGGCTAGGCAGTGGCAAAGCTGGGATTTGAACCCTGGTGTCCCGGCCTTGGCATCCACATTTTTGATCATTTTTCTATATTGAAGGCTCATCAGCACTTGACCTAGTGTGGTTCCTAGGCAGCTATGGTGGGAACCGGCCCAGTGAAGGCAACTCTTGCCGAAAGGGGTTCAAATGCTTAACAGGATCAAAACAGCCAAGATGCCCACTTCGCTCAGGAACTCTGTTCTGAAAGCACTGTCTAGAAGGACCCCACGAGACTGTAACATGTGTGCAAGGGGACGCACTCTCCCACTCTTGGTTGTACTTTCACTGAACTCCTCTCTTCATTTTCACGTTATATTCACTCGCCAAACCTCCAGAGCCCACTCTCAAAGAAATGGCCTGACCGCCAAAGGCTCTTTCCAGGCTGTGATGACAAAATAACACTGGCCTTTATGCATAAAACATGCTCAAGTCCTTTTACTGTCTCAGGGAAACAAAGAATCTCTCGTCCTCTCATCAAAAATAAAAATATTTCATTTTAATGGAAAAATTATAGTTTTGAAAGATGTCATAAACTCCCAAGGATAGAACTCGG